TAAACTTGCGGAGAAGAAATTATTCAGAGGGGACCGAAGATCCTAGGAAATGCGACGATGACCGTGGGATGGCGCGCGCCCCCCCCTTTATGCTGCCCCTCCCGGTCAGCCCCACGGCCATCATTCTGAAGGCAGGGATAGCAAAATATGCATGCCAAAGAACGGCCATGGCAACACGGTAACTTGGGTGTGTTGCGAAATATTCTACCGTATGGATTTCCCCTTCGGCACGAACAGGTATTCTCACTCCTCCCGTATTTGTGCGTGTTATCGCACCCCCGTGTTCGCGTTTTTCTGTAGCGTATTTCTCCACAACTAGGAGGGTGCAAACACCAACTGATACCTCTCCCGAAAGACCTCGACGAGATGTTTCCAAAACCACCCTTTTCGGAGGTGATACACCTCCCTGGTTGTGGAGAAATACGCTACAGAAAAACGCTGACACGGGGGTGCGATACCACGCACAGTTACGGTACTCTCCGCAGAGGCGGGAAAGGTCTGGTGACAATCATTTGCGAGTGATGCTGCGCTGCCGCTGCTTCTACTGGCTCGGTGGAACTCTCAACAAGGAATACCGTGCGAGGCGGAGAGATGGCACACCCTACTGCAGTAGACCGATTTGCCATTTCTCCGCTTCTCACATGCAAATAGGTTCCCGCGGGAGAATCTGCTGCTGTGCACAAGATACAGAATCTCAACACCGACGTGTTGAGATCGACGAAAAACCACAGCAGCGCTCGACCAAAAAATGAGAGCACGTAAATGGTTAATGTTTTTTGCCGATGCGGTGCGGATCGTGTCCACAAAAACAACACGAACGCCCAACCACGGGGGAGAGGAACATCCTAATGGTGAAGTGAGACTGCTGCGGGCGCCGTCCTACTTGTAGGCAGGTACATCACGTATCGAGGTCACAAGCACCGCCGCTGGGGCACGGATATGGTGAAGGGATGCTTGTTCTTGTGCCCGCCGAAATAAGAACCCTCTCATGCGGAGCCCGTCGTGTGTGGTCTCTAGCGAGCCACCACGCATGTACAACCATCACTCCTCCGCGCGGGAGTTGGTTCACGGGCAACAAACGCACCTCTTCGTATTCCAACTCCTCCACCTCGGAAGCGAACGTCAGTCGCCGTTGATGCCGTACAGACACGGTTCGTGCGGACAGATCACCCAAAAACTGTTTGAGCTGCTCCATAGTGTGGTGCCGTCGACTGCTTTTCTCTCCTGCTGCTGCTGGCACAGGGTCAACAGCCGCGGCTCCGGCCGTGCCTCGTTGCTTCTACTGCTCGGCTGCGGGTTTTCCACCTCCTCCACGTCGCTCTCTCTCTCTCTCTCTCTCTCTCTCTCTCTCTCTCTCTCTCTCTCTCTCCAGCTGGTGGTGAAAAGGAGATTGGTTCAACAGGGTCAGGATGTGGAGATGAAACCTGAGATGGTAGTTTGGCCCCTAGAATATGCTGCTAAAGGGTGCCGAGCGCTGAGTGCTTAGTGTGCTGCTGCACGCGGTGGCTCTCTCAAATCCGTGCCAGTCTTAGTGCAAAATGCGGCGGGTTTACGGACGGGGGCCGCGCAGAGAGGGGTACAACGGAGTGGTAGGGGGTAGGGGGTGGGGGAACTTTGTGTGCCGTTTCGTCGGTCGTTTCGTTGGTCCTTTCGACAAACTGCTGTAATTACACCGCATTATACTTTCGCCTCTAACTAACGTACATGTCGTATTATTGCCATGGGCGGTCCACAGGAAGAGAGATGCGCCGTTCATACGCGATCATCATCCTCAATTCCAGGGCTGTGTAGCGCGCTTTGTGACGTGGGCATGGTTGTGCATCAGTGAACTGCTGTTATCCTTTGCACCGGCGCGGGAATAGGCTGCGCAGGTCACGGGCAAATCCGCTCAAGCGAAACCCTGGTTGGTACGTTGGTACAGTACACGTATCCATAACTCTTGCCCGGTGATGCCCTAAATAATTTGCCAACCACTTCAAACATTGATGGAAGAGGGCGCGTCTTCTTTTCGAAGAGAGATTAATTATGACAAACATAACCATACAACAATGCACCAATAAAAGCGCACGACTGCTGTGTAATGTGTACGTGCCGCCGGCAGGTTCTGAGTAATTTTCTTCCACGCCATATCATGGTGATCCTGTTCTGCACGACCTTGAAAACTTTCGACCATCATCCCTTGTCCACCTTCGCGCATCGCGCGCGCACATAACATGTCAATGTACGGAGGGAAACGCGGTGATTGTGTCTCTGCCGTCCACATGTATTGGCATGTGTGGCTCCACAAGCAGTTTGAGCGGCGGAACGTAAGGACCAATGTCAGGCTCAACGAGCAACCACCAAGGCAGTCGGCGGCAGGATGAACTCACCGCGCTCAAAGTCCGCAAGCTGGGGCAGCAGGAGGAACTCGCGAAGGAGTTTAACTTCATCCTCACACGGCAGGTGAGACATGCATATACGCATAGATGGAACGAACTTGAGACATGAGCGGGAGTTCTTTTTGCCTCCGGCGGGCTGGATCAACACGTATGTTTTGTTCGTATACTTGAGCCATGTATTGTTCATCTAGAGAGTGCTGATGCATTGGGTTGCGTGACCTCAATATTCGGGCTATATTAACGCCGAGCGAGTCGCCCCCGGTATTCCAGTTGAGAGACGGCCTACTTGTCGGCATATTATATGCGTAGCTATCGATACAGCATCATGATCGAGAGAGCGCGTTGAGAGAAATATGTTCTTCCCCCAGTCTGCCAGAGAACAAGCACCACAAGTCGGCGCATCGGTCTGCTTGCGCTGTTTAGTATCCTAGCGAACGTTGCCTTCGTTTTAACAGCACACCCAATCGTCCTGAATATCCCAGCTGGAGCCTGGCACCCCCACAGCACTGTTGGAATAATTGATTACGTAGTCAACACAAGAGACGATCAGCAGGGCCACAGATTCGTTGGAAACTACTGTTAGGATGTACAGCATATCCAATATACTTCAACTTGTAGCATAGTGGATATGCAGTACATTTTAACGAAAGTACAACCGGGGTACGAATCCCTCGTGGACCATTTGAGACGCCTTTTTTCCGGGGAAAAAGTCTGGGATACACCTGAAAGACGGTATACATTCCAATCGTCCAAGTGAAGACACATATTCCCGCCTGTAAGTCGACGAAGCGCGTGGGGCAGCGCTGATTATGGGGATTACAACCCTGAGGTTAATTCCGAGGTCCAACAGCTGTAACAAGTTGAAGGATTGAAGGACCCCGGTTGTACTTTTGGCTGACTTGTAGCATAGTGGATACGCCGTACATCTTAACAACTCCAATACATTGTTCCGTCAAATGGTTACCCCACATGCGTTATCCATCAAATCCCGACCTACTCCGTGCATACAATGTCGCCACCGGTCGGTGCGGGAGAGGATATATCTTTCTCCGGCAGCCGCCATGCCGTGTACCCCTGGCAAACATAGCGGAAATAATGGTAACAAGCTACAAGCATTAGCGCCAGCTGTTCCTCTCGTGGGCTACGAATGGCCGCTTCATTGGTTTTGATGGAGGGGTTCTTAACCGCGATAATAAACGGCTCTCAATTTCATAGATTCTGACTTTGTTTAGGCTCAATTTTCTTCACTGCCAAGTCCTTACGTGCGGGCGCTGCCCGTATCACACTCCATTACCTCCGGCCGCGTAACACACGAGCGGACCAGGGAGGCCTGAACGATCAGGCGCGCCAGACCTGCAAGAACCTAGAGTACGCGATCGCCATCGCGACTCGCCCGGGCCAGATCGAGTACTACCGGCCGTCGGAGGAGGCGGCGCGTATCGTGGCGAACGGGGAGCTTACGGTACTCACCAACAAGATCGCCCGTCTACAGCGAGACATCGATCAGGTCTGTTCGCGTGTAGTTGTGCAACCTGTTGGATTGCATCTCGGGAAAAGTTAGTTGTCCAGCAGGAGGAGGAGGAGGTGGGCGTCGACCACAAGAAGAGCGGAAATAATCTCCATGTACTTTGAATTAATTGCTTTTCCGCTTAATCTGGTCGTTCATCCAACGCGCTTCGAGTACAACTTTGCGGTCCTTGTCTAACAGTCTAAACCCTCAGTCTCTATCGGTGGTGCAACCATTTTTCATCCACTACGTTTACTTGACTCGAAGGTAGCGGAGAAACTCGAAAGTCCTTTGGGTCCGCAACGATCATTCTCGCCCCCTCAATGCCTTACTCTTGTTCCCGCTCGGTCCACCAGTACCGATGGCCAGAATGCTGCGTACAAGCGGCAAGAACAAGCTATCCTAGATCATTTTCGAATTCAAGTTTCATGCCGAGATCCTGTCTCACTGCTCCCGCCGCGCGATCCCCGAAAAATCAACATTTATTGTTTTCTTTCGAATTGCATTTATTAATATTTTCTACCGCCCGAGGGAAGAGAGAGATGCCAAACTGGCAGAGAGCACGTTTCCCGCAGACACGTTTCTGCGGCCTTTCTATCTTGCCTCTGCCTCTCTCCCAATAAAGACTGTCTCTCTCTTCCCTCCAAACAGCAACTGAGGGTGCTCTCTCCTGCGGTGGAGGGAACCAATCTTACTGCACACAGTAGTGTCAGATGACCAAGTCCCTAAAATGGTACCCTACCATTTTCTTCGCCAACATCGCGGTCATCATGACACTATGTAATGGTATTTGACCCCTTCCTTCAGAATCAATCACCTTTGGGCTGTGTGGAACTCTCTTGTCCGACCACAGTAGCAGGTTGTTGTTGTTTTCCGTTGTTCTCTTTCATTCTCTTGATTAACGCTTTCCAAGCCAACTCACAATATCTCATGCACACGCGATCATAGATCGCCTGTACGCACACACTGAACAGAAGGGCACATGTCTCGGTATAAAGCCCTGATCTAGCATGACGTCACGTCTTATCATCCGACGGCGCCAAATAACCATGATCAACCACGATCACTTGTCTACCTCCAAATACCATAACAATAGCCCACCCTGAGTGGACGTAGATGCAGATACAGAAGCAAACCTCGGAGGGACTCTAGTCAATCAAGAGGATTGCGGCATGGATCGAAGATACGACAACTCAAAACCCTCACCCGCACCTCTCCGTTAACCAAACCAAAGAAGCGGAACCAAGAAAGAAGAAAACACAGAAGCCGGGGCGGCAAAGTCGGCGGATAAAATCGGAAAAAGGCACATGGGTGCGAAAAATAACCAAAACATCCGAACCGAAAATAACATAACACGAAGTAACGAAATCGTGAAGGGGAAATCACAAACGATCTCGCACGAATGAACAGATCGACTACGCCATCAAGTAATCCAAAACCTTACGGGAAGGGGGGCTACGATGCGATCGAGTTCCGAAATGCTAATATAAATAATAAGAAACGAAAACCGAGTCTGCAAAAGCGAAAACGACATGGAAAACCGTTAGGGGTCGACCAAAAATCGAGAAAAGTAGGGAAACAGGGGGTTTCCGGGAACGTAAACAACGGCCAAAGAAAAGGACAGGAACCAACGCCAAAAACAACGTTCGCATGTCACGATACAACGTGCTTGCGATCGGGGTGGGGCGAAGAAAACAATCCTACTTGTACGTCAAGGCCAATTGCACGAAGAAAAATGCTTAAGAAAGTACCAAGATGGAACACGTTGGCCGTGGCATGCAATAGAAGCACGGGCGGAACGTTGGACCACAAAATATGCAAAGCAAACCATCGGGGGGGGAGTTAAACGATGCACCAAATTTGGGTGTCACCGCAACTAATGACGAACCTAGGTCGCATTGAAAAATAGGGAAAGGGGAGCGAAAACTTTCGACAACCGACTCGTGCAGTGGGATTAGCTCCTGTTTCTGCCTACCTACCGCACACAGTGCTTTCCCCCGATTGCCTCCCGACTCGCTATGTCGTACCGAACGGGACACCCCTTGCGAGTCCTCTACTGTGGGCGGCTCCTACACATTCCTCTGACTTTATCTTCCCGCCCTTCGGGATACTCGTTCCAATGCGTTGCCCCCAACAGCCATATGCAGCAAATTCCCAAATCCTTAGCTAAATGGTGCAGCGCGCGTTAGTTTCTGGGATTCACCCCTATTTCGTAACTATTTGCCTCGAAGCTCCGCGGGCTTGGTCGTACTTCAGAACTTGCACTGCACAACCTTTAACTAAGACAGGATGTTAACGGCGCGTCATCGGGCAACGTTGCACAACATGACAACGACGCCACCACCAGAGCAACTGCTCCGCCGTCTGCTCTGTATCCTGATCATGGGTCGTTAACCTCATCCCGATTCTTGGATCGCCTGATGCGATGTACGAGGAGAACCCCGACCACTCCGGCGTGACGACGGTAGGAATAATCGGCACCCGGCGGTGATACGGGTGGCTTCCTGCACACCGCCGCCGCATCGACCAGCTGCCCCACTCCGCGACTCCACTTCCTGTCAGCTCCAGAGGCTGGCACACCACTAGAAGCCTTCTATGTGACCACCTCGCTAGTTGTCTCTGCAATACTCTCTCTCTGGCACGCTAAGACTCTGTGGACACAAAGGCTTGAACAGAATGGTAACACATGCGACTCCTCCTCTCGACCGAGGGGGGCCCGAAGTACGCAATGCGTTCCGGGTACCCCAATATAAACAGTATGGCAATTCGAGTTGTTTCAATAAACCTCGGTTTGTTTTGTCTACGCCTTTGTCTACGCCTTAAACAAACTTGCCCTTGTCAGGTGGAACAAGATATCCAGCAGGCCGACGTGGTTGCCTCATCTACAGCAGCCGCTGCCCAAGCGCAACCCTCAGCGAGACCCCCTTGCTCCAGTCTTGCCGAGTGGTTCGCAGCGTACGGAGAGCCCGCACCCTCAGCATCTTCCGGGCTGATGACAAACTTCGAGGAGAGTCCTAAGATCTACGGGGGTACAAACCACCACCGAGGTGAACCCACCCGGCAGAACGGTCGATTCCCATTGTTCAGTTTTATCCTTTGGGCCGGACGCCCACAGAGTCGAGGGGTACTTTGGGCGGTTCCTGTGCTTTTCCCATGGCGGTGCATCTGTTGCCTCTTGATACTCAGAACCACGTCATCTTGACGCCCTGCACGGGGTATTCATACCTTGCATGATTGCGTGGCAGCAGTACTCCCCCGTGTGTGTCGCTGGTGGTACGGTTGGCTGAGTGTCGGGTTTCTCTCATGTCTCCGTGCGATGTTTTTCTTTCATGCACGCTCTATTCCCTCACGACACCTAGCGTGCACACACACCGCCCAGATAGGCTGGGGTTATTTTTCCATCACCAATAAATTCAGAGACCGGCAGGTTATCGTGTATATCGGGGTTCTTCCGGGGTTATGTGTGAAGGTGTACCGATTATGATCAAAATCAATCGACGGATGTCATAGGAATCGGGTCCTAACCTTTGTCCATGCACTGTGCGCAGGCTACCATTACAACGTTTTCGTCCCCCCACTGAGCGTGCTGTAGCAGGTCATCAGTGCCAACGGGCCTGAACACTCCTCCTGCTTCGTTTGTCCGCTTGGGTGCACAGCCTTCAAGACCCAGGCGACCGTGATGAAGAAAGGGCGGATAACGCGATAGGGCAGGGCAGGATAGGATACACAGGAAAGGGATACATTTTCATCGTGCGGCTAGTGCGCGGTGGCATTTTGTCCCCTGCAGGTTCTGGCGTGTGGAGCAGAGTCAGGTCGTGTTTATGTACGTGGTGAAAAATGTGATCACCGTGGAGGATCGACAAGCCGTGTCTGAACTATCATCGAAGCCGAACCAGAAAAACGACCATGTTGTGGATTCCTTGAGAGGATGAGGGTGAACCGGTGTTTTGTGTTAACGCGCTTTCTTGATGTGCTGGGCCGAAAGAGGAGGAGGCTATGGGTGTTTGTGCTGCTAGCATCGATTGCTCTGACCGGCTCGCCGATGACAAAACTTCAGTCTTAAGGCGCGGTACAAAACGCGAACGCGTTTTTCTAGTCGCCACCCCCCGCAGGCAGAGAGGTCCCGCAGGAGGGGTTGGACAACAGGGTCCAGTCTCCGGGTTATTACTTTGCAAATGAGACGACTCATCACCATCGCGCAGCGGCCCTGCTACGTTTTCTTCTCCTGTGCTAGCATCATTTCCCTGCAGCTTGTGCCGGAGGTTTTGGGAAGCACGGGGTCGCTATCGTCCGGTCTCAACGAGTGTCGTACATAGTCCCTTTGGCTTGTGGATACCTACCCAGATGCGCGGGGAGGGGGAGGGGTTCAGCTGCTGCGCCGGCTAGGTGCGGAAAGCGTTCATCAGTAGGAATCATCGATGTGTGGACCGCCGCGTGCGTAATGCCAGGGATCGTCCTGTGAGGTGGTTTGCTGGGCGCGTGGTCGCTTGCCGGTCTGAAAAGTCGACGTGTGATTACACTGTTGTGGGTTACCCCGGTCATTCAGGCGATGCACCCGGTTAATCAACTATCTCACGCATCATACCTGTTGCATGCATGCATGATGTATGCATGGCGGTGTGTACTTAGTCGTTGTAGTTTCTTGGACGTGTACACGGCATGCAAGAAGGTGGGGGTTACACAAGGTGTACTCGGAATCGCTTTTCTGCCGAACAGGAGGGGACGGGACCCTTTGGGCCTCGAGCCGAGTCGGAATGCAGATTTCGAAGGAATGGGCGATCGATGCGATCAATATTAAATCTGCTGCGTTTCCCTTCCTCTTGTGCGACCTCGGCTAGCGTGTCATCCACATATCGAATGTTGCAAGCTGGCGCTTAGCATGGAGAATGAGACGACATACACACACGACAACATTACAAAATATTTGCGTTTTATATCCCGCGACAAGACTGACGTCTTTTCATTGGTCGGCCGATTAGTGCGGTCGATGCCAATTAAGAAAACACACGACCATGAATACACTGAACAAGGAGAAAGAGGATGAGAGTAAGCCTCACTGCAGTGAGAGGAAGGATAGTAGCACCGGAACAGACAGCGCGGGCTGACGACACGTGGGGTTGAGATAGTGTTCTCCTTTTGCAAGTACTGCAAATCCGAGACTGGACCCTGTCGTCCAGCCCCCCCCTGCCGAGGTGGGTGATGCCTAGAAGGCGTGTTCGAGTTTCGTATCCTGCTTGTCTAAGACGAAGGCATCATTTCATTGGACAGTCAACCGGTTGCGCGGTCGATGCTGAAATTTAAAATGACACACACAAAGTTAGGTGTGCTCGGCACTAGACGTAAATATACTGAGACCAAGGTTTCGGGTACCATATTGGTACATGTATGCCGAAAGGCGATCCCTCTTCTGCCTTGCATGGGCAAGCCAAGCATGTCCTGTGTTGTTGTTGTTGTTGTTGTTGTTGTTGTCTTCACATTAGAAACCGTTCCGGTCTCCGTTCAGTACCTTCAAATGTCCGCGCTGGCCCAACTGACGCAGACGCCCGTTCACTCGTTCATATCAGGTCCTGAGTCAATCTTTCTCCGCAGCCTCTGACGCAAAGCACTCGTTTCCCAACAAAAAACAGTTCAAGTACCTTCATAAATCAGCCATGCGACGCGGCCGACGTTATTTGTTTGCAAGATGGCCACCAAATGGTCTTGTTGGGTCCGTCACCCACAGGGGAGGTACCACTGCTGATGCATATATTTCAACCATATGTAGATTATATTGCGGCATGAAGGCATTGCTACTGTATATCCTTGACTCCTGTCTGTGAAGAAGAGATGAATGTGCTACATTTAAATAAACAAAAAATCCCCATATTCAAACATGAACACCCAAGTTGAAACGGCGGCGGTTACTCATGTTTGGATGCCCCCTCGCATGCCTTTGATCCCGCCGCAGTTTTCGATCGGTCGCACACACCGTCGTCATTCCCGAGTCTCCCCACATACCTTCACACCGGCAGGGAAGGTTCTTTCCTAAGGTAGGCCGCCTGCCAGGGCACCTTTGTATCGTTCACGTCTTCGCATTCGTATGTATGTGCGCGTGTCCATCGTACCGCCTGAGAGGGGATGCGCCTGTTGTTTTGTTTTGTAGACCATTTATGGCACATATCTCTTCACCATGTGGTAAATGATGCGGGGTGTGGATTCCAAGCATCCAGACAGCAGCCTAGGCACCACGGACGAATACCTAGCATGCCCGGCAGAAGGTCAGAAACGTTCAGTCTAAATGCTTCATCCACCGGGGCTCTGCATACTTCTTTTCTAGGGTTTCGAACAGCAAGATCTCGTATCTGGAGTACATCGGAGAGTGGAACATGACAACCGAGTTGTCGCATTCTGCGCGACCTCGACTAGATCTACATGCTCAACATACACGCCCAAACAAACCAATCCTACCATAAACCAATACTACTGTAATAGCCTCACCGTCTATTAGGCGTGTCCTATAATGAGTTCTGCTGTTACGGCCCATTTTCGTTCCTGGGTATAAATAAATGTAGCGCGCGGCCTTCGGTGTGTTCGGGTGGACATATCTACTGTACTTATCATGCACACTGCTGCTGCAGACTCTAAAGTCTTGACGCTATTTCTGTGTCATTTCTTCACTCCAGGTTGTTTACTACACTATCAGCTCTTGCTTTTCTATCAGAAGGGATCCGATCCGGTGTCACACAGAGCACGTGTGTCTCCCCTTTTTTTTTATTTCATGTATAACCCTTTTTTCAGCGGTTACAGCGCAAAGGTGTCGACTATACTCACGCTTGTATGAGACGCGTAAACATCACCTCGCTTACATCCGAGTTAGGTGCCATTTGCGGCAAGTAAGCTGTGCTTCGTTTGGTAGGACCATCGGGGCGGTCGTTGAGGATTACGACACCACTGCTGCAGTGCTACAAACTACATACGCAAGTACGCAAGCTAGAATCAATTGGAACCGGCCACAGGTTCCGTTTCGGCGGCGCGACAGTTGCGCCGCATGGTTCGCCCGGGCAGCCGCGGGTGCGTCTGTCGTCTGTCTACTGTCTGCTGCCTACACTCAGAGCGGTACTCTCGCCTTGCACGTGCCATTGGCACCCCGCACAACAACCTACATCTGAACATGTATGCCGCGCTTCGGATACCTGGCGACTGTATCTCTCGAATGTATTCTGGGATCTCCTGTTTGAAGAAGACAAGTAAGTACATATCTTGGCGGGTCTCGACCAATAACCCTTTTGGCCCTAAGGCGTACTGACTGATCATTGACTGATCACTAGCAAATGCTGGTGTGGAGGCAAGCCGTGGAGCTCCCACCCTCGGTAGCCCTTCACACCGGGTGTTGGGAAGTCCATAGATGTCTTTGCATCAACCGCGCTAACAAGCAGGCTGGCTGAAAAGGCCTGTCAGCGGGTAAAAAAACTTGTCGGTAAGGATATTGTTACACTCGATCCAGCAGTCATTTTGTGCCAGCTGCTATGTATACAACACTACACAACCAGTGTAGTCAAATAGCACAGACGACATGTACAACATACACATCATAGCTCCACACATACTCTCGACCGAACCTAGGAAGTCGCTACGTAGGTGTGTGCTGGTGTGCTATGTAGTATGCTTAGGCCATTTGTTACGGTGTCTTTTTTGTTAGATCTTTCCCCCCCCAAAAGAGACGACCCAAAAAATGATCTACAAAAAAGATGACCCCCTTCTTGCGGTGCTGGTCCATCCTTTTTTCTATTCCGAGTCATGGACCGAAAAAAAGCGATCCTGCAACGGCCGTTCGTCACATATACATGCACCTTCCACCGCTATGGTGTTTCGGTGATATCTCCGCATACCGTGAAGCAACAGCGATGACAAAGGCATCCGCCATGAGCTGTGTGTATGGTCCGTCTTGGGTGGTGGCTGTTAGAGACCACAGGGCGATTGGAGGCACGGAAATTGAGGTGGCGAGGGTCAACAGCACGCCGAAAAAATACCCACCGCGCCAGAAACCAGTTATTTTTGCTCTTTGGCCTGTGTCGCAACTTTGGTTTATCGATGCTCCCTCGCCACCCACTCCAGCAACAGCGATGACAAAGGTATCCGCCATGATCTGCGCGTATGACCAGTCTTGTGTGGTGGTTGACGCAGACCAGGAGGCTATACGGCGCCCAAAAGTTGGGTTCGCAAAAGTTGACAGCACACCAACAAAGACCCCCCGCTTCCGCGTCTAGACTCTCTCGGCTCGTTTGCCGCTTGTTTGCTCCGCACACATCGGGTTGTCCACTTCTTGGTCCAGCCGAATGAACAAAACAACGCTACCGCTGATGCTACTGACTCTGCACCAGTCATATGACACAGCTCGTGTGAACACCGTTAGAGTTTGCGGGGATCAACAGTCGGGAGATTAGTTTGTAGGTAGCGTCATGTGGTTGTGAACAAAAAAAGACCCACAGAAAAAGACAGCCCCGACTTATCCAAAACTGCCCTAGAAAAAGACAGGATGGGCTATTCAAAACGGGTTGTCTTTTTTTTTTTGCCTTTTTCCCCTCAAAATAGACACCGTAAGAAGGGGTTCTGTGGCCAGTTGTCTTTGTTTGAGAAGGAAGAAAGAAAAAGACAGCTCCAAAAAAGAACCGTAAGAAATGGCCTTAGGCCCTTACCCATTCTCCTCCTTTTCTTTTTTTCCTACTC